CCAAATGTTTACAGATAGTAAATCTTAGATAGTAGTGATGCAAAAACAAGTAAACACATGTTAGCTTTCCAAAAGTTGTTTTCACATTTTACCAAAAATTCTATTTTAGACATACGTTAATGACCCCAGTCAGGTGTCCTTAAAAAAAGAAACCTCAGGACTTAGTAACCAATGGACATTTGATCATCAAGCCAGTGCCCAGATGGAATTTGCCAGGTAAGAATCCTTCAGACCCAAATTGCCAAATTTCCAAATCCATGGACCACTAAAATTGTTCACAGATTATTAAATATTTGCTATGTCATAAAACATATTAATATTGGGCAATGTCTTGAGGTCATTGTATTAGTCAGCTTTCCATTGCTGTGACATGTGCTTGAGGCGATTTGATTAATCTCAGGCATTTGTCAGTTTTCTTCAAAACCTTTTTTTTTTCTTTAACAAAGAAGGGTTTATTTTGGCTTACAGATTTGGAGATTTCAGTCCATGGTTGGTTGGTCTATTGCTCTGGACCAATGGTGAGGCCCATCATGGTGGGAGCATGTGGTGGAAGAAACCCTTAGCTCATAGTCAAAAGCAAAAGAGAGAAGAGAGAAAGACGCAGGTCCCACAATCTCCCTTGAAGGGCACATCCCAGATGACCTAACCCTTCTGCCAGACCCTACTTTCTACAGACTATACCACCTTCCAATAGAGCCATGTCTGACCAAGCTTTGACACATGGGCCTTTGGCGGACATTCCAGGTCCAAACTATGGCAGTCATCAATGGGAGGAAGAATAAGGCTGTGCTGTTAAAAAATGGTCATTTAAGACTTCTAGGCATTTGGTACTGAAGAAATGGTTTATTATGGAATTTGCACCTATATGTCATCTTCCATGACCTGGTTATACAAAGTGTTATTGTGTGTGCATATATAAGTATGTGTGTTAGCACGTATACTCACATATATACTTTTGTGTGCATGTTTATACGTAGTTGATGACTTTACCAAAAACACAAAGATGAGAGAATTGCTGTGTGGTCTTATAATCATTCAAAACTTGAGCTTGGCCTGGGGACAACATTGAAAAGAGAGCTTTTCTGAAATTTCTTATGCTTAAGATTATCAGGGCTGGGCTCAGAGGCACATGCCTGTAATTCCAGCTGCTTAGAAGACTGAAGCAGGAGGATCATAAGTTCAAAGCCAGCCTCAGCAACTTAGCAAGACCCCGTCTCAACATTAAAAAATTAAAAAAGGCCTGAGGTTATAGCTCAGTGGTAAAGCACCTTAGTTTCAATCCCTGGTACAAAAAAAAAAAAAAAACATTATCAGAAAAAGTAGGAGGGAAACTAACCTACAAGTGGGAATCCGAGACTCTAAAGCAAGAAAGGTGTGACACTTTAGATTTAATAATGAATGACAGGGAAGAGTAGCTAGCAGGACTTGGCAAAAGGGCTGAAAAGTGGAAGAGGAAAGCTGGGCAAGGAGGGACATCGAGGTGATTCATGGGCATGACCTTCCTATGAGTCAGATTTGCTTTATGTCTCTGGCTCATTCACTTCCTGGTCTTGTTGGGACTTGATTAAGTAGATATTGGCCCAGGTAATTCTAAGAACTCCTGTACTCACATTTGAAATCAAACACTTCCAGGCAGAATCTCAGTTTTGTTAAGTAAACACTCACTGTGTGTTTAATTGGATTTTTACCCCATATTTTGGTGGGCTTTGAACATCCCTCTTTTCCTTCTTCCTCTTTGTTCTTTCTTATGGGCTGTCTTTAAAACAGGCTTTAAATAAACTATTCCAGATACTGGAGTCTAAATGATTCAAATAAAAAATAACACATGTACAAGGAAAGTTCATATATTCATTTGTTAGTTCAATAAACACTTCCTTACACACCAATTCCAAGGGAGATGCCCTTCAGTGAGTCAGAGTGCCTGCCCTCAGAAGGCTTATACTCCAGTGGGAGTGAATTAGCTTTCTCTTTCTACTCTTCACAGGTCATATCAAACAAACTATTTGAATTAACCTGGCATATTTTTGATTTATTTCCCCATTGTTTGCAGTTCAGAAATTCAGCTGGAAGTAGCAATATGAGAGCCAGAATTTCTCTCTGACTGTAGTCAGTCATAGGATTTCCAAATGCAGTATCTTTGACATTGGCAGAGGCTTCAGGATCAGAGGTTTGTATTGATGAGCCAATAGACTGGCATAAAATAGCATCCTTCAAACATATGGGGTAACATAAATGTTAATTTTGCTTCCCCATCTTTAACACATTTTTTAAGTGGTAGAGTGCTTTAATAGGTGGGTATAGATTATTTCTATGTTTACCTCAGCTTTCATGAAAAAATTGAGTTTGGTTTATCAAAAAATACTTCTTGATGATAATGAGAACAAAGTATGGAAAATTCAAATTTTGAATAGGATCAGAAAAAATATATAATGTAATTGCTGAAATCAAAGGAGATTTTCCTGTTTCTGTCTCTCTAGGGCTTTCATCATAATTTGGGCCTTTTGCATTCCACTGAGCTAATAGTTAACTGATCGATTATAGTGTTATAGAAGCACTCTTTCTAATGGCAGAGATTGATGCCAACAGTGTCAGGAGGGAGAGTTCTCTTCCTGATTATTCCTTCATTGTGACCTTATGGTGTGTGTGTGTGTGTGTGTGTGTGTGTGTGTGTGAGAGAGAGAGAGAGAGAGAGAGAGAGAAGGCTCTTGTGAACTAGGTCTCCTGTCTTCCTCGTTTATAATGCTGCTAATCCATCATCATGGGGCTCACTCTCATGATCTCATAGAAACCAAATAACCTCTAAAGTTCCACGTCCAGAAACCACCACATTAGGGAGTAAGAACCTTAATACACTGGTGGTGGTGGGGGGACAAAACAAACATTCAGACTGTGTTAATCAGCTTGTTCACTATTTTGAACTAAAAGACCCAACAAAAACAATTTTAGAGAAGGAAATGTGTATTTGGGACCTCATAGTTTCAGAGGTCTCAACCCATTGAGGGCCAACTCCATTCCATAGGGCTTGAGGGTGAGGCTGAACATCATGGCAGAAGAGTGTGGGGGAGGGAAGCAGCTCCCATGACCATCAGAAAGCAGAGAGGGAGACTCCACTCACCCCTATATATACCCCATAGCCACACCCCCAGTGGCCACCTCCTCCAGCCTTCCTCTTCTCTGCCTTCAGTTACCAGGCCCAGTTAGCCCCATCAGGGCCTTGATTCACTGACTGGCTTTAGGCTCTTATATCTCGATCATTTCCCCATTAAGCTTTCTTGCATTTTCTCATACATGAGCTTTTTGGGGACACCTCACATTCAAACCATAATAGACAATAACTGATGAAGACTTATAAATCAAGGAGACAGATGTCAGAAGAAATCGGTCCTATTTGATATCTTGATCTCAGATTTTTAACCTCTAGAACCATGAGAAAATGAATTTCTATTGCTTAAGCCACTCAACCTGTCTCATTTTTTTTGGCAACCCTAGCAAACTCATACACTGTGTAACCATGGATATTCAAACTCTTTGAATTTGTCATTTACTATCTGTTAAATGAAAACTATGATATAAATATGGGTGGCATTTAAAGATAAGTAAAATAACATCATCATCATTATTATTGTTATTATCAGTGGTGCTGGGGATTGAACCCAGAACCTTGTTCATACTAAACAAGTGATCCATCCTGAGCTATACCCAGTCCAAAATAACCTATTTTGAGTTTGAGAAGGTGACAAAAAAGAAAAGAGTAGTATTGAATCTCATACTTTATTTATTTATTTTTAAAGCCCAGGAGAAATTATAGGTACATCTTGATTAGATAAGGCCAAAAACTACATTAAAACCAACTAAATAAATGAATGACTAATTATTTACAGGGTAAGTTCTCAATAGCACAATACTATCTCTTAGAGATTGCCCCAGGGGAATTTAAAATATAATTTGATCCCCTCTTCACCACAAATATTCAATTTGCATCAACTTTCCAGAAACTTATAAGTCCAGAAACACTAATCACATAAATTAGGCCACATGGTACTTATTAAATAGTTGAGGTTTGATTTAATCAGAGCTTTCTGGATTCTGGAAGCAGCCTCGCCTTGCCGTCGTTACTGTAATGCATGCACAGACTGCGGTTGATAATCAGAACTGTGTTGGGCATTCCACTTTGCACCTCCTAGGGCACCAATTTTCAGAAACTGTTAGAACCCAATAGAAAAATCTCACCTAAGATTCATCTGTGAGCTAAATTACAGGGGAAGCCATTATCATTCATTTCTCATGCACTGTTAGTCCAGGTTGTCAGAAGAGCACCTCTGGGTCACAGGGAAGGATTTTGCTACCTGTGAGAATCCTGAGAATTGAAATGGTCAACCAAGGTATGTCACTATCCTTCTGATCAAGGCATGCTTCTTAAATGAACCTGAAAGGTACAGTGAGTCCCCACCGGAAGCCTGGGCCTCATCTGAGTTCTAACGTAGGATAGGGTAGAGTAGAAATTTAAAATCTGGTTGGAAGAGACCAAATTATAACAATTAGAAATCAATTAAATGTTAAACTATATGGAATTAAGTGAAAGAGGATTTTAGAGAAGAGTGAAATCAGTGTAAGTTTGAGGAAGTTAATGGGGAGCGGATGAGACTTGAACTAGGATTTGGCAGGGGGAAGCTTAAAGTAAGGGATGACTGGAAGGTTATTTTGGGGTGGGTGTAGGTTGAGGGTGAGGGTGTATGCTTTGCATGTTTATGCTTTTAGGCTCCATTTTCTGGGGCAGGGAGTATTGAGAGTAGAGATAGCATGAACAAAAATACATAAGTGCAAGTACCTAGATACTGTTCATAATGCAGAGAGAGAACTCTGGCTTTTGGGGGGGGGGAAATGTGCTTGTCTTAATAATGGATTAGTAATGTGTTATTTCTAAATCCTCACAACAACCTACGGCGTAAGCATCCTCACTGACATTTAAAGAACAAAGGTTTAGAGAAATTGTGACTCACCCATGAAATGCCAAGTCTCCAACGTCCTCTGGCATAATGGAGCACACCATAGGCCCATGTGGGTGTCACACACAAAGCAGCAAGCCCCTTGCTCAGGCTGGGCTAGCATCATAATACACATTGTGCCTCAGAGTTTCTCCATGGATTAGACCAAGATGGCATTTTGCTTAGGGCCTCTTCACCTCCCTCCATAGTCTATCCTGCATTCCTCAGCCTTTCCAAATGTCAGTGTCCTGAGAGCTCTTCCCCAATAAATCACTCGAAAGAGTCCCCATCTCAGGAGGTATGTCGGGGGAATCCTACCCAAGACACAAACCGTTTCTTAGTATGCCTCTGAATTGTGGCCAATACACATGGCATGCCATTGTGACAAGGGAGTACCCACTGTGTGGTGGAGCTTTGTGCTGAGTGGGCTGAGGGAGATGGTGGCAAGGACTTCAACCATTATCCAGCACATATGTATTAAGCACCTCACCTGATCTTCTTGCCGAGAGCTTATGACTATCACTCTAAGTTAGGTTCTGTGACTTCCCTGTATTTCTAGGTGAGGAAACTGAGGTGTGAGAAAGAATATATTACATGCCTTATGGTCTCACAGTTGGAAGTGCTGATGTCACAATTCCAACACACTTGTGTGTAATATCACATCTCCAAAAGCTAGTTTTTATTTACTGGAATATGTAACTTACTAAGCATGTAACTTACTAGGGTGTTTAAGAACCCCATGGCTCAGCACAGTCAGGGTAGTGAATACTTCTGTTCAGTTGTAGGGGCTAAATTATAATGATGTATCTATTTAATCCCTTTAAATGAACACACAACTTGAGAATTATTGACAATGAAAGAGAATGTCAAGTTGGGCAGAGGAGTTTGAAGTAGGCAAAAGATATGGCAACCACATGGTTCAGCAAATGGAATACTACTGGCAAATACAGGAGATGCCATTAGTACTGACACAGGAATAACAAGTGTGAGCCAGACCACCTGAGCAAAGCAGGGTATGCAATCAACAGAGTGATGGGAGGCAACAAGGAGCTGTGGAAGGTCCTTGAGCAGAGGAATGAAGCAGTTCTTCCATTGTTGATAATGCAGCACAATTTAGAAGAGATCTTGGAGGCTGAGAGAAAAGAAGACAGGAGGTTGTTCAAGTAATTATTAGTGTGACCTGACTGATCTTCTGTCCTGCCCCGTTTCCTCTCTAGCTTATTTCTAGAAATGGTGATCCTTTTTGGACCTTATGTGCTTGACAAAGACTACTAGCCTCTCCTGTTGTCCTAGATTATGTGTGCTGTGCCCAGGTACTCTCAACCACTGCTTAGATCCTTTGCTTAATCCGGAAGGACCCTGCCCCAGAACCAAAATATCTTCATTGTAGGATTCTGCTCCACTGAAATATCTGTACCTCGTGGAGGTCCCATGCTCCTAGGACCTTGCAATTTTTTCAGTTGTGAATGAACAAGAAAACAAGGGTGCACGTCTTCTTCTGGATAATGCAAGAAAGTAAATGGGAAAGTTTGTTTTGTATGGGCTATCTGATTTCTTTTGACCTTTATGGTGCTCAAGTGTTTGTGGTAGCTCTGGATTACATGATGGTGATGAGGCCTCCCTATCCTCCTCTGGGCCTTATACTCTTGTCTCCTTGGGTTTTCAGCACAATGCATTACCTTTGTATAGATATGATGAAGGTCAATAGTTTCAATATGGGGTTTTGTTTTGTTTTAATATTTTTAGTTGTAGATAGACACAATACCTTTATTTTACTTATTTATTTTTATGTGGTGCTGAGGATCAAACTCAGAGCCTCACACATGCTAGGCAAGTGCTCTACCACTGAGCCACAACTCCGGCCCTTCAATACGGGTTTAAGAGGAAATAGGACTGAGACCTATTATTGATGGAGAGCTCCTTTGTAAAAAGGTAGCGTATATATATATATAGAGAGAGAGATGTGTTTATGTGATTGAAATCTGTGGTGTATCAGTTCTCCAGGACCTGGAAAGACTAATAAAAAAGTAGGTAAACAAATGAGTATCTTACATCTTTTGGCACTGAAACATGAATTCTTCCATATAGCCAATTTTTTGGAAAACACTGCCTCTTGATTGGCTTGTGTGGAGAAAGACAAGAAAATTTAGGGAAGGGCCTTTTATTGTTGATTGTTCAGTATTAAAGAACTCAAATTGGTGAAATGGGTGTCGAGTATATTTCTGTGACTTTACAATGTCATTAAAAGCACCCAAACTTTGGAATCATACAGTCTTGGGTTCAAATCCTAGATGTACCACTTAAGTGACTTTGCATAACTTCCCTAACCTCCAAGCTCTACTTTGCTCATCTGTAAGTGTCAGGGGGAACAGCAGCCCTTGAGGGTGTCATGCAGTGGCAATGGAGTGGTGTTTAACACCAGGTCTCCAGCTGAGACAGGTGCACAGCAGGCAGAGCATGGGCCAGGCTGCTCACATAGGGCGCCCCTGGAGGATTGCAGCCTCCCCTGTGCTCCTGTGCCCTTCGCATGTCCACTTCCAACCATCACACCACCTTAACTTGTCCACATGCCTGTGTACCCATCAGATGGCCTGCTTTTCCTTGTGTTCCTGAGCTGATGCACAGCTGCTCAGAATGTGGTTATTAGATGGAATTAAAAAATCTCTTTGGTATTAATATCATAGGTAAAATCTCGAATCTTAACCAACCTTCCTTCCTTCCTTCCTTCCTTCCTTCCTTCTTTCCTTCCTTCCTTCCTTCCTTCCTTCCTTCTTTCCTACCTTCCTTCCTTCCTTCCTTCCTTCCTTCCTTCCTTCCTTCCTTCCTTCCTTCCTTCCTTCCTTCCTCTCTCCTCCCTCCCTCTCTCCTCCCTCCCTCTCTCCTCCCTCCCTACCTCTCTTCCCTCTCTCTCTCTCTTCCCTCCTCTCTTCCTCTTCCCTCCTCTCTTCCTCTTCCTTCCCTTTCTTTTTATTTGCTCTTTTACTTGCTTATTAATTCTTCTGTTTTTCAAAGAAGAGCCTATTGGAAAATATAACCTCATCATTTTTTTAAAAAGATAAATATTTCCAATGCTGTTTCCTTGTCAGTAAAATAAACTAGCAGCACCCTTTCCTCTTGAGGTTGCTTTGAGGGATCTGTAGAGGGCCTGCTCCCAGGATGCTGTTCGGCCTCTGGTGCCCTCTCAGAGGGCCTTTGCAAGCCCTTGTGATGATTATGTCCAACTTGCTGTGTGGATTTGGGGCACAGCTTTTGAAGTAATTTTGTGTAATTTCTATATTTTTAAAAGTAAGTTCTTATTTAAAAACTAGTACATACTTAATGTTAAAAATATGAATAATATAGAAAATATTGACTCTTCAACTTAATAATTGGCTCTTAGGCTTCCGAGGAGCAAGTTGGTGGGTGGGTGACACTCTTCTGGAATGAATGAGGAAATTAGAGACCAGCGCTAGGATCTGCAGACACAGAAACCCTCTGGCTGTGAGGAAGAAGTTGTTCTCCATTTGTGTACAATATGTTAAAATGCATTCTATTGTCACGTATAATTAATTAGAACAAATTAAAAAGTAAAATTAAGAAAAAAAAATAAAGAAACCCTCTGGCTGGGGACCTAGGTCTGTGCCTGCAGTATATCTCCTGACATCTCCTGCTGCTTCTCCCAAATTGGTTTGGAAAACATTAGTAGTGATAGGCTATCCAATCCAGTCTGTTTCTGAAGCTTACCCCAACAGAACTGGACTATAGTCTGGAATGGACCCAAGGGTCCTACTCTGAGAGTTACCTCTGGCCTCAGACTGCCTTGGCTGCTGGTCCAATCATCTGGCCCCTTTCCCCTGGTTTTTGTGAAGCTTTTATTATTGGTTTATATAAGCCTATGTGGTCAATAAAGTTATGCCCACACCTGAGTTGTCAGTTTGCCCACCAATGTCTTTAAATACCTTCGGTAGCTTGTAAACTCCTGCCACACAAGGACCCAGCCCTGACTCTTGCTCATCAGGCTGTCATTAGTGGTACAAGCAGAGACTGCGTGGGCATTAGCCATATTAGCAGTGTAGCTGCAATGCACACTCATTGGGTTCTCATTGTTTTCCCCAAATGAGGAGCATCACCAAGGGGATGCTGACAATTTTATTCTCTTGATTCAACCTCAGCCAACTTCTAAATCAGCACCTCCTTCCACCCCCGTTGTCTCCACGTTCCCAAGGTCCTAACATCCTCAGGCTCTCCTACATTTTCCAGTCTCATTTTCTGGAATAAGATGTGACCAACATCCAGGTGTTACAGATTTTTTTTCCCCCCAGGAGTTGATTAAGTGCCTCTCTGGTGCTGTTTGCTTTGCCTAGATGATTCTCCTTCTTGGGAAAGTCCTGCTCATACATTTTTTGCCTAATTTGAATGTCACAGTAAAGTCTCGGTTGACTTGGGAAGATAGTTATCCATTCCTGCTCAATGCTCCCAGGATGCTGTTTGGCATCTGGTGCCCTCTCACCGAGTGCTACAATGATCAATGCTTTTACCTCCTGCCACCAGACTATGGGATGCTGGAAGGAAGGCAGAGATAACTCATGTCCACTGGCGCATTCCAGAGCCCAGCACATAGTAGGTATGCAGCATTGGCTGGAGGAATAACCAGTGACTAGGAGGACAGTTCTTTTACTTATGTACAATGGCCACTTTAGGCCACTGTGCTTTTGTGATTTGGCACAAAATGATAAAGTTTAAAAGGGAGGGGGGAAACTTTTCTAACCTGTTGTGACATACAGTGAAGATTTCATTGCTTATTTCTGTTTTAATCTGCCATATGGCTTTCCATTCATAAAGTGCTCTACTGAGAATTACTTTTGCAGGTAATTTTCTAATGATTGTCTTGGGATAAACAAATTTATCAGACTTGTTGGCTAATGTATTCAAGGAGTTTCACAGGGGAAAAGATTAATCATCTAAGAAGCAAGCCGGTGTCTGTCATTAGGCGGAAGGGTCCAGAGATGATCAGAGCTGAGCGGGTGGTTGCTATGACTGCAGATACTTTTCTCTCCCTTTGTGAGGTCAACAGCAGCTCCCAAGCTGATTGGCTAAAATTAGATTATCCTGCTGACCAACCATGGGGAGTTAATTTCATCAGAAAGAGAAAAATGCTGGGAAATCCTGCCGTGGTGCTACAAAGGAATTTTCTTTAGAAACCCACAGAGTCCCAAGTTTGCTTTCATTATAATTAATATGTTCCTTCTAATAAAATCATTTAAGGAAAGCAGACAATAGCATTAGTCTATTATTTTGTATATCCATATAAGCTTTACTTTGGTTTTGTCCTAAAACCAACTCTCAAAGTTAAAGTAACCTTTATTTTCCTGTAATACTTCTATAGCCAAGGACTGTCATCATGCAGGTGTTTATATAATTGGAGATAGGCTAATTGTGAAAAATACAAAAGGAGTTGGCTCAGTTAAAGGTATCTGCTTGCAGGGCTCCTGCCCTAGGGAAAGGAAAAAAAAAGAGAGAGAGAGATAAAGAAAAA